CTACCATTTGATTTTTGCATTGCTTGGACATCTAAATTTTGAGTATCTGCTATCTCCAAGTGAGTTGTAACAGACTTGCCATAAAAAACACGTCATGTTTTGCCTGGAGAAAGCAGTTGCACAGCTTGTACAACAGTAGCTACAAGGGTTGCTGGTTTTTCAACTAGATCAACTAATGTAGCAGGATCTTTAGCATTTCCAGCAGCTTGCTTTTCCCCCTCTAACACCTGAGAAAACTTATTCACATCTACTACAATTATAAAAGTTGATTGCTCATGAAACGTCAATCGATGACCATATTTTCCAGGTGCATTCAAAGCACCAGCAACCTGAGTACTACTGGAGACTCCTTGATCAGTTGCCTGTCCTCCCTTATTAGCAGCAGTAATTTTAATTGCTGTTTGTGTACCCTGTTGATCCTTTTCCTGCCTTGGCCATTAGAAAATTGCCCAACCCCTTTAACACCAGATCCTCTAATACCAGTAGCATCTAAACTAGATGTTTGGACAGCTGCTTCAAGAGTATCAGCTGCGACAGATCGTGCACCTACTATTAATGAAACAGTACCAGCTTTACCTGGATTATTAACCACCTGTCCAGCTAATTCCTCCTCATTCTCACCAGCAACCTTGTCAACGTTATCCTTCCCCACATGTGGGTCCAAAGTTGTGTTAATCCTGGCTAATGCTCGATTAACAGTAACTACATTAGCCTCACGATTTGTATCAATATCACATCCATGATCTTCTCTACTGGTATCACCTGTTGGTTTCATAGCTGGTTGCACCCCAATATTTGCAGTTTCTAAAATTTTATTTGTAGCTCGTTTGGCATTCAACAACTCCCTAGCATCACATTTTAACTGATCGACATTACTCAGCTCCACACCAGTCATATCAACTTGAACTGTATTTTCTTCATTGACTTCCTTGTTTCTTCCCTGCATCGATCAACATGAACTTTCATCATGTCCTTGATGCTTACAGCAGGTACAATACTTTGGAAGGTTATCATACACCACCTGTTAATGAAACTCCATATACTTTCCAGAAACTTTGTCGACAATATGAATCTTAACTTTCTTAGGATATTTGTCCAAAAGGTCTAACAAAACCTTAACTCTCGCAGCACTTGGCCTAGTACGATCCTGTGTCTCCTTGTCTACAGCAAGAGGTTTCCCTACTGCTGAAGCGATGGATATTAATGACTTTTTTGCAAAACATTTGGGGGGCAGGTATGGGAAAGAAATCCACACAACTGACTTCGATGTTTCTTCTCTAGGATTGAAACCTAACGTCCATTAGAACGTTCTGAAGAAACATTCATCCCCTTTAGATTTAATATATCCAGTAGACCTTGATAAGAACTGGACATAGTCATAATATAAATCATACCTTACTAATATAAGTCAAACTTCAAGCTGCCCAATGTTACAATATCCTTTAACATCGAACTGTTTCGCAAAAATCTTTCTAAACTCATGCAACTCTGGTTTTCCATATAAAAACTTGACGATGATTGCTTGGTGTAGCCCTTCTTCGATGGTGAACTCGTTAACCTCCTCCATGGTAAATTCAATGGTTGGTTATCCATGATCAATTCTAACTGGAAGTAAACTTATATTTTGACAATTTTGAGAAGATTCTTTGGTAACAACTCACGCCGCATATGACTTCTTAGGATGAAGGCTAGTGCTTGTCACATTAGGGTTATGATTCTACTCTCCCACAGCCAAATGCTGGGGAGAGACGTTGGCAGCCATGAAATGTCTCTAGGTCGACATTCCTAGAGAGAGAGAAGAGAGAGGCGAGAGTTTCTTTCTTAGGAGCGGTTGTATGCAGCTAGATGTCTAAATTGCCAGCATGTCTTTTTTTGTTTTTTTTTTAGTGAATCCACTAGGCATTGTGCCTAGGGCTGATTTTCATATATATAAAACTAAAGTACAACAAAGAGGGGGACATAAACCTTACCTCCGAATAAGTGGTTGGTATCAGATGACTACTAAATCTATAGCCATTTGATACCTTATAAGTATGTGTAGTCAGACCTAAATGAGTGTACCATTTTTCTAACCAAAAATGGTAGCCTAATGATTTACAAAAACTGGGTAAAGTTAGGTCAACTATAAGACTAGAATCGGAGGACTCCTCCAATATACATTTGCTCCTATAATAAAACAGAAGACATGTTCTCCCTATGTAAGGTGACAAAAATGTAATACAACAACATAGGATAGGTAGTAAAGGATACAACAAAGTTATCTTCATGTTGGCTTGAAAAGGAAGCCATTGTGAAGGTAACACAAGTAGATGTCAAATATTGTGCAGAAAACTGTCCAAAACCTGTGTTGCATATTGTTGATTGCTCAATTGCAATCAACTCCAAAAATTTAGAAACATTGATGCTTCTTGGTTGTTGTCTTGTATCATCTATGAAACTGCCGAGTGGTGGATAATGTAGTGACCAAAAAAACTTGTTGACAGAAGAGAGGAAGCAACAGTTATCCTGGTGATTCCAGGTAAATGGAATTTCCCCACCACATTGGCATACATTCAACAGAATGATCACACACAGTGTTGATACCACACCTTGAATGTATACCAATGTTGTGAGTTTACTTCCGGTACCTGCAAATAAGAAAATCAAAGTTAGGTAGAAAATTGTCATCATTCCCTCCTCTAGTTGGATTTGGGGTTGATGCCTGCTACTGATATTTGGGCTCTTCTAGTGTAAGGTGATGATGTTTATCATGTGGGTAAGGAACAGAATTGTTGAGGGCTGCTGTGCAGACTGGTTTCAGTTTCTGGTTGGAGTGGAGAAAAGGTTGTTGCTGCTATTGTTGTTGATGTTGGACATGTTTCTTTGGACAGATAGGTTAGCTCCTATTGTTTCAACAAAATCAACCATATCCATGAGAGGAATTAGAGGTGGAGGCAAGCTGTGATGGGCAGATGATCCCACTAGTTTTTTTGTGCCTAAAGGCAAGGGTTCCTAGAAGGTCCTGCTGAATCTGACCTCTAATGTGGTTGGGGAGAGATTAAGTGGAGTAGTAATGGTTTATGGTTGATAGGTTGTGGCATAGTTTTGAGAGGGAATCTGCTGGGCAATTAGCTTCCCTATACACATGTGAGAATTTGATTTCTTCACATTGGTCACATAGTTGTCTCAAATTCATCAATTGCATCTTTTAAACTCCATGGTGGATCAATGTCAGTGGTAAGCCAAGGAATAAGCAGTGATGAGTCTGCTTCTAGGTGTACCTTGTTGTGGCCAGTGTCAATGCACCACTTAACTCCTAAGGTTGTTGCTTCAACTTCAGCTTGACTATTGGTACCTTCTCCCAATGGAGCAGTTATGGCATGAATGAATATACCACTGCAGTTTCTTATTAGTGCCCCTTCCCTTATACTTCCTGGATTGTTCAGTGCACTCCCATCACTGTTGACTTTTATAAATTGATGTTCAGATCTGCTCCAAAAAACCTACCTGACATTGATGTAGTGTTTGATGCTCTCAACAATAGGGTATAAATCCTCCCAATTTAGTGGCCAGCAAATTAAAGGGTTGGTTGTTTGCATGAGCATGTGAATATCTGAGTTGATGGAGTAGATGACTCTAGTGAGGGAGGAAGTTTTGGTGCCATATTTTGCATTACACCTATTCTTCCAAATGTTCTAGCAGACGATGGTTGGTACAATGTCAAGTAAAAGCTTTAGCACTTCATTCTTTCTTTTGTGAAGCCACTATTTCATCAGAAGAAGTCTTAGAGGCATTTCAGCAGTGTGGATACCAGCTGGTCTTGCAAACTTTTTCCATACTTCCAATGCAAAGTGACCCCTACTGAAAATATGATCCACAGACTCTGCCCCTGGTGTATAACAACATCCACATCTAGATACAGTAGGGCTGCTAAATAAGAGCATCCCATCATCTGTAGGCAATTTGTTTCTGAGTGCTCTCCACATACTGAAGGACCATTTGCAAGGGATTCTCTTATGCCATGTCATTTTATTAGAGAAACATATATGCCTCTTCTTTCTGATCAAGTCCCATGCAGAGGAGCATGTGAATTTTCCTTTCACATTTAGGATCCAGATAGGTTGGTCTTGGAGTTGAGGGTTGTGATGAATTTGGATTTGAAGGATGGCAAGTATTAAAGGTGCCGGGACTGCTTCATGCAGCTTCTGTAAATTCCACTTGCTTAGACCCAGAAATTGGCCACAGTTACGTTGCCTGGCCTTCCTCCATTTCTGTGTTGAGTAAGTGCACCAGCTCCCAACCAGTTTCCCCACCAAAAACTGCAGTTATCAGAATGTAGTCTCCAAATTATGTACTTTTCAGCCTCTTTATTGTTAGTCATTATTTTCTTCCATGTCTGTGATTGCCCAGAAATCCATTTTTTGGAAATGGGATTTGATCTCTGGCATTATTTAGCTCTGAGAAACTAGCTCCATAGTGATTCTTTAGTTCTAGAAAGCCACCATTTTTTGTATTCCATGGTTTGGCAGATATCCTCCATTGATCTGAAGCCAACACTTCCTTCTCAGTTGGAAATGCTAGATTTTGCCAAGAGGTCCAGTGGTATTTGTTTTTATCTTTCTCCATTCCCCAAAATAAGTTAGCTGCTAACTTCTCAACCTGCCTTAGTATAGTTTTGGGGGTGGGGGATAAGGCTGACAACATGTGTGTAGGTAAATATTGGAGCATATACTTAATCAAAGTAGCTCTGCCTCTATAAGAGAGGATTCTGCTTTGCCACCCTTTAATTCTGCTTACCACCTTAGCTACCAGGGAGTTGAAATATACTATTCTCATTCTTCCTGTGTATAATGTACACTCCAGGTAGGTAATGGGAGATTCTTTCTTGGTGAAACCTGTGACCTACTTCACTCTTCTGATGGCAGCTGGGAATGCAGAAGGAGAAGCCATGAAGTGGATTTGTGCCTGTTGATTTGCTGTCCAGATGTGTGTTCATAATTGCTGAGAACCACCATAACCTTCTACAGTGATGCTCTACCTCCTGATGTGAAAATTATGATGTCATCTGCAAAGCTTAGGTGTTTGACTTGTGGACCCCTCTTTTCCATGTAGAATCCATTAAAGAATTTATCATGGGTGAGTTTGTTGAGCATCCTAAAAAGTAGTTCTGCTCCTATGATGAACAAAGATGGGGCCAGTAGATCACCTTGTTTCAAGCCTCTGGTAGAGTGGAAAAAATCACATCTAGTGCCATTGATGATCACTGAGTACCAGTTGTTTGACATAGTTTTCCATATCATGTCAATTATTCTTTCATTAAATCCCATTCTTCTCAGCATAATACATGTAAAGCTCCAAGATACCCTATCATAAGCTTTTGCCATGTCCAGCTTGATAACAACATTTGTCCCTTTGTTTGGCTTTTTGATGCCTTGCACAATTTCCTATGCAAGCATTATGTTTTCATAAATACTCCTTCCCTTAACAAAACCATACTGGTTGGGTGAGATGATTCTGGGAAGGATAGGGGCAAGTCTGGAGCAGATAACTTTTGAGATGATTTTGTTGAAAATATTATTTAGGCTGATAGGTCTGTATTCAGTGAAGGAGTTGGGAAATTCAACCTTTGGTAGCAAAACTAGGCAGGCACTAGTCATGTACTTAGGCATTTCTGAACCACCAAAGAAGGCTAGAACAACCTGTAGTAGATCAACCTTGATGATGTCCTAGCAGGATTGAAAAACCTTTCCATTCATGCAATCAGGACCTGCTGTACTTGTAGGATTCATTGAGAAAATCACTTCATTGAGTTCTTCAATAGTTGGATCTCTGGTGAGAAGGTCATTTTCTTCATCTGTTATAAATGATGGAATATAGGATAGCAAGACTTCTCTAATGATGCCACAAGTTTCTATAAATAGATCCTGATAGTAGTCACAAGCAGCTTCCACTATAGCTTCATCACCTTGCACCCATTCACCTTCAAGGTCTTTGATTTTATGTATAAACAACTTTCTTCTTCTTCCTCTCATTAAACGGTTGAAGTATCTTGAGTCTGCATCACCATCTTTGAACCACTAAAGCTGTGTTTTTTGCTTCAGAATAGACTCTTCCAACTTCATGTACTTTCTCTACTGAGTTGTTACCTCTTGAAAGTTGATTCTGCCATCAACATCATTTGTTTGTGCCCAAGTCATTTCTGCATGCTTCACTTTTTCTTTATATTTCTTGACCTTCTGAAAAAAATCCCCATTTTCCTGCCTCAACCATTTACTTAAGGCATTAGAGATTGCTTTAAGATTTTGATGGAAGATCCACATAGGATTGCCTCTGACTTCCTCATTCCAGACTTCATGAACCAGGGGTATGAAACCTTCATTTTCCACCCAACAGTTGAGAAACTTGAAATATGTTTTGTTGGTATCCTGCCTGGCATTCATCTCCATCAGTAGAGGATTGTGATCAGACCTAGTGGAAGATATGTGTGAAATGGTGGTAGTTGGGAAGGAGATCAGTCGGTTGTCATTTACCATCCCTCTGTCTAATCTCTTACAAATTATTGATCCTGGACCTCTGCCATTGGATCATGTATACCTAGGACCATAAAACCCCAGGTCTACAAGTCCACAATCTTCTATCATACTGAGGAATTCCAAGCTCTTTGATCATTTGGTATGGTAGACCCCCTATCTTTTCTTCAATGGATGCAATAACATTGAAATCTCCAATCACATACCATGGGATGGTACAGGTCAAAGATTTCTGCCTCAGTACCTCCCATAGTGGTCTTCTGAGATTTGTTTTACACTTGGTATAGACAACAGTTAACTGGAAAACTTCAGTTGCTTCTACATGCTTTAGTTCAACAGTATTTACTGCTCATCTTGGTCAATGACTGAGCCTGTAAAATCTTGATACCAAAAGATCCAGATTTTGTTGTTGATATTTGATGTTGCTTGATGCATGGACAATTGGATTATATAGTATTTGATATGAGTGTTGTCAAGAAAAGGTTCTAGGACTAGAATGAAGGATAATTTGTGAAGGTGTTTGAGAGTTCTGAGTCTTTCAATGGCTCCAGAGGTTCTTATAGCTCTTGTATTCCATGTGATTGTACTAATCATTAAAAGTATTTGTGGAGGGTGTGCTTTGGTGTGAGGGTAGAGATGGTTGCTTTGCTTCTGGTGAGGTAATGTGATGGCTTATTTTTGGGGGAGAGTCCTTGTGCATCAATGATTGTAGCAGTATCAGAATGACCATTAAAAGCAGTAAGAAGATGACTGCAAGTGTCATCATCCTTCAAGTCTTCACTATGTTCATCATCTGCTTCATCACCAATATCAACTTCATCCTCAGACTGTATATGCATATGCTCATATGCTGCCTCATGCAAAGGTGAGGGTGCAACTAATGCCATAGTACCTACGTCCTCTATTAGAGGTGAGGGTGCTACATGAGACATAGTTCCTACTTCCTCTTCCTTGATTTGAGTAACAGAGACAACCCCGATTCCTACTGCCTTAGACACAGGGTAAAAACTAGTAGAAGTCATAGTACCCACTTCCTCCAAATGAGTTAAGGGTGCTACATATGATTCTACTCATGTAGTCAAAGGTGAGGGTGCAACATGGGGTTGAACATCAGATTCCATAAAGCTATCTACAGAGTTGATCTTTGTTTTAGCCAAAGCAGCATCCTGTTGTCTTTTTATTTGCCTTCTTTTTTTTCTGACTTGGATTATTCTTTGATTTTGTCAAGGACAATTGATTTGCCATGGGAGATTTGCCTCTGTCAACTGTTCTTCTGTGATCATCATCAGTACCAATTACCCCACTTGTTTCAATGCCAACAATAAAAGTCTTCTGAGTAGACCGCTGAGTGGTAGCAGGGGTTAAATGGTATATCCTAGGGTTACCTTGTGCATCAGCACACTCATGCAAAACATGAGGAACACCCACCCCCTTTGGATCCCCAACCTGATCAGCTATAGGTATTTCCTGACCATTCGCCTTTACTCCATTAACTTCAACATCAACCACAGTGGTGTTGGGAATGGGATTGTTCGCACTCTTCAGAGCAACTGGAGGATCAGCTTGTGAATTAGGAACAATATCTGAGTTTTGGTTAGGGTGAGCCTCTTGTGCATTAGCTACTTGTTCACTAGTCTGTTTGAATTTCTGTTGCCTGCTTCTTTTGTTGACTCCCCTAAAATTCTTCTTCTTTGGAGAGTGCCAATTATCTTTGGAATGGTTATCCCTTATAATTTGTTGAGTTGTTGCTTTTTGATTTTTATTTCTTTGCTGATCTTCCCTTTGGTATTGCATTACAATCTTTTTCTTGGAATTCTAATTCTTGTTTTGACCCTCCATAACTTGTTCCTGGTTATGTTGAAATCCCCCTGCATTCACTTTCCTGTTATTGTTCTGATTCTCATTGTTTCCAGATGTCTCAGCTGTTGCTTTCTTTTTGTCCTCCTCCTCTCTTTTCCTGATAGAACAGTAGTGTTCCCCATGTCCCAAATGCATGTAGTGTAGATAGTAGGTTGGAAGATCTTCATACACCACTTCCATCCACTACCCATCCCCATTGACATCTTGGTCATCATCAAAACCAAGCCACACATGGTGAGACCTATCCTTAGTTAAGTCTACCTGCATCATCACTTTTGCTACACTTCCCCTGTTTTTTGCATTGAGACAAGATCCAGATGTAATATCTTACCCATGGGTGACAACAAGACTGATAAGACCTCCATATAATAAAAATGCCAAGGCAATTTAGGAATGACTACCCATACTAGGACAATTGGGGTGTCCTCACTAGGCTTGAAGTTGGGAGTCCAGGCTTGAAGATTCATTCTTTGACCTTGGATGTACATGAATTATTTGGTCCAGATAGTGGTGTGGTCATACTCATTGTCTAGATCAATGTACACTGTTCGAGAATCGAAATGGGCTATTTTAACTCCTCCTCTGAGCTCAGTTTGAGTTATAAAGTTTCTTCTGATAACTTCCATTCTGGGCATAGTGTTAAGAGATCTGCCCATAATAGTGTATTGGCATCTATTGGCTAGAGTGACCATATAGTCTTTCCTGGTGAAGATAACCACTGGTTGACCCTATTTGGTGGTTATTTTGGGGGGTGTGAATTCTATTGGGGCTAATTCTGCAGCCTGTTTTGCTCTTAGTTTGGTAGCTAGGGATTGTGTGATGGTAGGAGGAGGTGGGGCAGGATAGTTGGGTGGTTATTTTGGTTGGGTATTGGTTTCTTTTGGTGGAGTATCTAGTTTATTGTTGTGAAGCTGGGCATTTTGGATAGGCTCTATAGGTGACTTATTGTTCTGTGGGTGTTGAGGTTTATCAAAGTTGGCTGAGATCTTTGGGTATGTGGAAGTAGGTGGGGAAGGGGTGGTTTGGGTTTTTGTTTCAGCTTGTTGAGAAGACTTGGCAACATGACTAGGTAGCTGTGTGACAGGGTTTCAGAGCTGGTACCTGGGATCATGTTTTGTTGAGGCTGGGGCCTCAACTCATCATAATGGGAAGTGTGAGAGGGAATTATGTTTACGTCATTGGCTGGTGCCTTCTCCAAGTGTCCTGGTGCATTTTGAACAGCTGCTTGAATGAGGTCGACCACCTGGTTTTTTAATGAAGGGGATAGGGGTCGTGCATCAGATTTTTGGCTTTGTGGTTGCATTTTAATTGCTTGGGGATGTTCACAATCAATATGAGATTGGTTTTCATGGGTGTGATGCACAATTGATTTTTGGGGAATAACTGGTGCATTTGGTCGAACACCTATAACAGTGGGTGCTGCAGAAACTGATTTTGGAGAAGTTGTGACTTTTGCTTGGTTGAACTGAGGTTGTGATGGATTGGGAAGATTCCCTATAGCTGCAGAAAGATTTTGGCATTGACCTTGGTCGATTTGGATAGTTGGTTCACCATCTCCGACCAACTGAGCATTTGGGGAAGAAGATGAGGATCGATCACCAGGAATTGGGCCTTGTAAATTGACTTCATCACCACGATGAGCTTAAGGAACATCCAAAGGTTCATTTTCAATGAATTCCACTTCAATTTGGTCAGTGGAATTGGTTGGGGCATTTCGTCAAACACCTATTATGTTCGCGACTGCAGAATTGGTTTTTTGAATTGTTGTGGAAAGTGGGTGGTTGTAGTGGGGTTTTGAGGATTGGGGAATGTTCTCTAGGTTAGCAGAAACATTTTTGCTTTGGTTTCATACCACTTGGATACGTAGAGCGTCTTCTCCGGCAACAGTCACCTCGCCGGTGATTTGCAGAACATCGGAGCTCTCATTTCCCGCGGTAGAATGGTCTGAAATTTGTTGGGGAGGTAGTATTTGACCTGGGGAAGAATCTACATGGCTTGGAATTGCTCTATTTGGCCCAGAAATGGATTGACAAATTTTTGAATATTCCAAGCGATTCGAAGCTATAGTGATCGTTCACCTTTTTGTAGATTTGCAGCAACTCCCTTGGAATTTTGGAATGAAACCAACTGGGTTTTTGCGCCATGCCAAGGCGGTTCATTTGAGCCAGGTCTGGTGGAAGTTCATCGCCGGACAGTGGAGTTGTGCCCATTACGGTGGTAGACTGCCCTTAGCACTGGAAATCGCCTATCTAGAGGAGTGGGTGTTGTTAAGTTTGCGCCAGCAGATTAAGTATGAGCACTAGAGGCCTGGTGGCCTACTCCAGCAGATGACTATACCAGAGTGGAAATGGGAGCACATTACTATGGACTTCGTAGTTGGGTTGTCGCGGATCTTGCAGAAGTTTAATGCAGTTTGGGTCATTATCGACAGGTTGACCAAGTCGGCACACTTCATTCCAGTTGTGACTACGTATACTTCAGACAGGTTGGCCCAGATTTATATTCAAGAGATAGTTCGGTTGCATGGTGTTCCTTTTTCCATCATATTAGATAGAGGCTGCTAGTTTACTTCGCATTCCTGGAGAGCAGTATAGGGTGAGTTGGGGACCTGCGTAGAGCTCAACACAACATTTTATCCACAGATCGATGGACAGTCGGAGTGGACTGTTCAAATCTTGGAGGACATGCTCAGAGCATGTGTGATTGACTTCGGAGGGCAGTGGGATCAATTCTTACCTTTGGGTGAGTTTTCTTACAACAACAATTATCAGTCCAGCATCGAGATGGCTCCATTTGAGGCTTTGTATGGTCGGCGATGTAATTCTACCATCGGGTAGTTTGAGCTTGGCGAGGCTAAGTTATATGGTACTGATTTGGTGAAGGATGCCTTGGAAAAGGTAAGGTTTATTCAGGAGTGTCTTCGCACAACACAGTCCAGACAAGAGCATTACGCGGATCAGAAGGCGCGTGATTTATCATTTATGGTGGGCGAGAAGGTTCTCTTGAAAGTCTCGCCGATGAAGGGGATCATGAGGTTCGGGAAGAAGGGAAAGTTG